GGACCTCCCGCAGGCATGCTGCCAAAGGCTGCTTGACTGCCGCCCTCGCAGGAACCGGCAGGACGCCCCCCGCGGCTTGCCACCCCAGGCACGCGCTTGGCACGCTGGGGCCTACACAAATCCATCATTTTGCACTGACAAGGGCACAGGCCAGACACTATTTTCAATTACCTGCAGGCAATGCATTTTGCAGCAATGAGCGAGTTTCTCTGGTGTCCCCTCAGGCCTTTGATTAACGCCTCTCTAGCACTCTCCCTTAAGCCGTCCCTGCGGGGTGTTAATGATCCTTCCAATCCTGCCTGCCCGCCCCCGAAGTCAATAGCAAAGCTCTCCCTGACTTCAGTGGGAGCAGCCGGGCTCTAAACTAGCTGTGGGAGGGTGAGGCAGGACACATCTGCCATGGGAGACAGGGGAAAAGGGTTGGGAGACGGAACAACTGGTTGGCCAATTTCTGATTGCTGGCTGCCCCGGCTGGCTCTGTTGCAGCAGTCAGCTAACGAATGATCCACCCATCCATCCCAGAGCCAGGCTGTCAGAACAGGGTGATCCAATGTCCAGCGCTGTGAGCGAAAGGCACTTCACACGATGGCACTGCATGGTGCCCCACCGCGCTGTGCCATCCCAGGCCGGGCTCTCATAGGCAGCATGGCTCTGCGTTACCTGCAGGAGGAGCCTCTCGTCCCCGACAATGGCCGATTTACTCCAGTCGATCACTTCGGAGAACGGCAGCTCCCAGCCGTTACTGAGCAGCACGGGGATGCAAGCAGCCTAGATCGATGAGAAACAGCAGACAACGGCGCTCGTGAGACCCAGGCCGTTGAGCCTTGTAGCCACCAGCTCAGGGACCGACAGGCCAGCCACTGGGCCTGATGGGGTGGGGGAAACACCAGGCCCGAGGGAGGCGCACAACAGCTGGCTAGTGGTATTGGAAGCCCAAGTACTTTCTAAAGAGCCCCCTTTCAAAGCCCACTTTCGTCCAAGACCTGGGAGCATTAACCCTTCTCACGGCCAGCCCGAGGCAGGCATGATTTCCTCAGGGACCCTCCTGATGGCTGCCTCTCTACCATTTGAATGGAGAGGAAGGGCTAGCAGCGAGTGGAGGGTGGCAAGGAAGGGGATGGAAGTGGGAGAAGAGAAGATGGGTAGAAGGAGCGAAGAGGAAGGGGGCTGGGGAAGGGGGACAGATCTCTGAGGAGCAGGATCGGAGACGTTGAGATAAGTGTGTGGGGAAGGGGGAAGGTGCAGGGTCTTGCTCTGTTTCTCTCTCTCCACTCTCAGAGGCTCCTGTGCCCTGGGACTGGGGTGAGGAGGGAAATTCACGGACTGACTACAGACATTTCCCGCTGTCTCGCCCGCTGTGGTACCTGCAGCGCTTCCAGGAAGCGGAAGGAGCCCAGCCGCCTGCCGCGAGGGATGATGCAGAAGGTGGAGTTGTGGAGCAACTCCTGATAGTCAAACCTGGGAACAAAATGCAGCTGTGGTTAGAAACCTCTGGTTAGAGCTCTCTTTTCCTTCCATGTGACACAAAGCTTCCCCACCCTCCTTGTCGACTTAAGTGTCCTCAGCACTGTTGTTGTATTCCAGTGGCAAGACCTTGAGGATTTATATACATCAGTCCTAGAACAGAGGTGGTCACAAATAGCATGCAGGCATCCTTTCTGTCAAGAATCTGAGCCCAAATACCAAAGCCCTGTTGCCAGGGAGCATCTCGGCCTCCAGAATTGACTCCAGTTGGAGAGACTAAGGCAGGGAGCATCCTCCCCACTGCTTGCAACAGCTCCCCCAGAAAGAAATATCATCACAAAACACAACACAGCAGTTTCTTCCAAGACTAAACACTTGCTTGCCTGCCAAAAAAAGAAACTTGTAAGACTACATGTAACAGCACCATGCGTTGACCATTGCCATAGCAATATGAAGGGGCACTAATGAGATGGTTACATTTCCTTAGGATGAAAATTGGTCTTTTGGACACTGATGAACAGGGAGCAGTCGATAATGTGCCATCTCTCAGCCGGGTGTCACATAGCAGAGAAGCTTTGGGGCCACAAAGATCTCTTCTAGAGGCGTGCCAGCCAACATCACATGCAGCCGGTTCACTGGCCGGAGCCGATGACCTCAGTGTGGTGACAGCACAAATGCTGTAAATAAATACTCAGAAACCAAAGCCAAGAAAGGCAAGGCGAAGCATTACATTATTATGATTGTATTACCATAGCTCCTGGGTGCCCCAGTGATGAGCCAGGACCCCAGTGTGCTAGGCGCTGGACAAACAGACAGTCCCTGCCTCAAAGCTCACAACCTAAATTCCATTCTTATCCCCAGAGGGGGCTGTCTCAGGAAGCTTAATATGCCTTAGTGTTTGTCAGACTTGAGCTAACCCTCAGAATTCCCCCCTCCAGATACCCACGCACAAAGCCACTATCATCGTCCCCAGTTGACAAAGGGGGAAGCTGAACCAGAAGTAGAACTAAGTGACTTGTCCAAGGCCAAAGAGAGGTGTCAGTGTCTGAGCTGGGATTAGAACCCAGGTGTTCCTGGGTCTCCGTGTGTTTAGATCCTCCGGCAAGGCAGCCTGTGATCCTCCGGGCATATGACCTCAGCATGTTGGAGAGGAGATGGTTGTGTGGAAAAAGCATTGGCGTGAAACTCAGAGGAGCTTGATTTAGTGACTGGCTCTACCACTGACTCACGAGTGACTGCAGGCGGGTCTGTGCCTGTTTCCCATCTGTGAAATGGGGCTAATGAAACTGACCAGGGGTGTTGCGAGGTTAAATGCATCAGTGCTTGTGAAGTGCTCAGACACTATGGTGTCGGGGGCTGTGATAAATGAAGGGGGCTCCCTTTTATGAACACCCAGCCAGCCCTGTTAGTAGCTGTTCTCTACTTGCTTTACCTGTAAAGGGTTAAAAAAGTCCCTCGGTAAAAGAAAGGGAGTGGGCACCTGACCAAAAGAGCCAATGGGAAGGCTAGAACTTTTTAAAATTGGGGGGAAACTTCCCCTTTGTGTCTGTTGTTGTTCTCCGAGGAAGAGGGGAACTGTGAGAAGCTTGGGCCAGGTATGAAACCATCAGAATCATACCTAGAAACTGCTTATTCGAAAACCCAGCTATGTAAGTAGCTCAGGAAATATTTAGGAAGACGCGATTAGGTTTATTTCTTATGGCTAGTGGACTCCTCTGTGCTAACCTCAGATGCTTTTGTTTGCTTGTAACCCTTAAGCTGAACTCCCAAGAAAGCTATTTTGGGTGCTTAATTTTTGGAATTGTTCTTTTAAAATCTAGCAATAGCCTGAGTTTTCAAATGGATTTCTTTCTTATTGTTATTAATAAAATTTACCTTTTTTAAGAACAGGATTTGAATTTTTGTGTCTTAAGAGGTTTGTGCACATGTTTTTTTTAATTAGCTTGTGGTAACAGCTGATTTCCTTTGTTTTCTTTCTCAGCTCTTCCCTGGATGGGGGGGGGCGGAGCGGTGAAAGGGCTTGAGGGTACCCTACAGGAAGGAATTCCCAAGTGCGCCTTCCTGGGTCCTAAAAGGGGTCTTTTGCACTTGGGTGGTGGCAGCATCTACCCATCCAAGGTCAGAGAAAAGCTGTAACCTTGGGAGTTTAATACAAGCCTGGAGTGGCCAGTATTCATTTTTAGAATCCTTGCGGGCCCCCACCTTCTGCACTCGACGTGCCAGAGTGAGGAATCAGCCTTGACAGGGCTGTGCCTATCTCAGCTCTTTCGGTGTATGTTGCTTTAGACAGGGACTGCAGAGCCCCATTTAAAGTGGCAGGGAGCACAGATTTTCCCCGGCAGCCTGACCTGCCCTGGCCCATGAGCCCCTACTCCCACCCCCTCTACATCTGAATGAGTGGCATTGCCATCTGGGACACAAGGTCAGCGTCACTCTGGTTTGGCCAGCCAAAAAGTGCCCTCCCACACCCCAGCCCTGCAGTCTAGGGCATGGGTTCTTCACCTGGGGGCTGTCCACCCTTCCTTCCTTTTAGCTAGATTTAAGAGGGAGGTCCTGAAACTTCATTCTGCTGTAACACAGGGTCACAGTCTGGAAAGCTTTGAGAACCCAGCCCTCAAAGGACCACCTGCCAACGGAGTGCCCCCTGCAGCAAGGGCTGCAGAAAGGATGGCATCGAAGCCACTTACGCTGGCTATATGCACTCTAGGGAATGCCCACCCCTCCATGCCCGGAGAATCCCTAGCAGAGGGGAGAGTCCAGAACTCTCCTCAGACCTCAGCGTCACTTGGGCCGCGTTTTAAGAACCGGTTTGTAGTTGTTTGATTTTGTGTGGTGAACTGAGTGTCGCTCGAAGGTCAGCCCTGGAGACAGAAGTACTTTATGTTTCCACAGAACAAGCACAATATGAGCTGCATCAGGCCAGTTTCCCCTCATGCTGCATTTCTCCCCCTGCTACCCGCATGCCTCAGCTCTGAGCTGGAAACAGACCACCCTCTGGGGATCAGATCAGTCCTCAGCATCACCCCGAGCCTGCCCACCAGAGGGGGGCCATTAGTGCCAAATGCCAGGGTGGTTTCTGTGGGGTTGAGGTTGTGGTGAGTTTTTACACTGGAGCGTTTGACTCGGATCACAGCGCCTCCAGCAATGAGCAAACGCATGCAGAAAGCCAACCCGGCAGCAGCCATCCATTAGGTGCTGCTGATTAAAACCCAACTAGTCTTGGTTGTACCGTTGTCACCATTACACAAACAATGGCCTGGCCTATTGGAGCCCAGAGTTTGTTTGTAAAGCCTAATATTAATGCAAATCTTTTCATGAAGTTTGATTTTTTTTTTTTAAATGCCAATGAAAACAAGATTTTGTCTGAGCTAAACATTCCTCTGCTGTGTTGGCAACCCAGCCAGCCCTGCAGCCTTGTGCTACTGAAAGTGCAATTGACTTAAACAGGAGTGAAATTGACCAGGCTGTTTTCACAGCCCAAGCTGAGTAAACTGCAAACAGTAAAGAATTGGAATCGATTGGGCAAAGTAAATCCGATTAGTACAATTTCCGTAATCTCGGGTGTCACGGAGAGCACAAGTGACTGTATTCGTATTTCTTAAACCCCTCTAAGTTACTCTTGGAGCCCAAAATACTGGGCCAGGTTTTCTGCTGTGCTGTTTCCACTCAGTGCAGTGGGTGGTATGGTTGATTACTGTAATCAACGCCGAGTCCGGTGGCACCTTAAGGACTAACAGATTTAGTCTTTGGGTAAAAGACCTCACTTCTTCAGATGCACTTCTTCTTGCATCTGAAGAAGTGAGGCTTTTTACCCACGAAAGCTTATGCCCAAATAAATCTGTTAGTCTTTAAGGTGCCACCGGACTCCTTGTTGTTTCTGTGGATACAGACTAACACGGCTACCCCCTGATACTTGTAATCAACTCCCTGATTCTCCGTTGGGCCCTGTGAACTGTCATAGGTTAGAGCAGCCTGGGGGCTGCTCCAATTTGCACCATCTGGCAACAGTCCTCAGGGGCCCCTAGGACTGCATGGTATTGGAGCCAACTAGGCTGGCTCTTTGCCCACTAGGGAGTTCCTGCCCCCTATGCCAGGAGAATCCCAAGCAGGATCCTCAGCCAAATGCTGTCTTCTATGTGTCACCATGGCGGCATGGAGTAGGTGCAGTTCATCTCGCCCTCTATCTCTTGTGATTTTCTTTTTTTGAATAAAACCATGCTCAGGGCCCGATCCTGCAAGGTGAATATCTAGTACAGGCCAATGGGGTTGAGGCCACTCAGTCCTTCTCAGGAGATGCTCGGCAACTTCCAACCCTTAAGGAAACTTCCAAGTCCTGCCCTATTTAAACCAGACTCCTCTCATCTTTCCTAACTCTCTCCTCGCTGTCCTGGCCAGAGTTTCTCTCCTTCCCAGCTCTGTTCCCACAGAGAGGCATCAGATCTGGACTGTGATATCCCAGACCTCAGAGCAAACTGAGCCCTTCTCCTTCCATGTGACGCTGGAGCCCGGGAAGCTGCTCGGCCAACAGGAGTGGGCTGCTTGGGCGCACGCCAACAAGCTGAGTCACAAGGCGTGTTACGTGAGGAAACGATAACAGACATTTGTCAAGCAGGAGGGGATCATTTATCGGAGATTAAATATTTGTCTCCCGGCAGCGCCCTGTAATGGGTGGGGCCCTGATCTCTGAGCCACTGGAGAGTGTTGATTCTCAGCGTGATGTCCAGCTCCTTGCAAAGTGCGGTCCTGGTCCATGATTGGAGGGGGAGGGGCTATCACAGTATAAAATATAAAAACGCTGTGTAGAAAGGGAGCTGTTGCCTGCACTCAGAGGGGACAGAGGCACCAGGGACAGCGTCACACAGCTGTCCTGTTGACTGCTATTGATAAAAGTTCAGACTGTAACTGGCCCTGCCTGTATGCACAGGGGGGGGGGGACCCAAGGGTCCCTCTTTGCCCCACTGTGCCAGCTGCAATACAGCACCTGTGGGACAAGG